GTGCTTAATATGTAATTAAGTTACAATAAAACTCCTCGATAAGGTTCAGTGTACAGTGTATCAAGGTGACATATTATTTGTCCTAGTTAAGTAGTTGCCTCCATTTGTGGCCATGGTGCAACATGACACAGAACAAAACACAGTGGTTGTTTACCAAAGACATGGACAAACCACGAAGCTGTGTAGTAGTCGTTTTCGTTTCCTTTCAGCTAGGCGGGGGAAGTGTACAAGATGCACGCGAAAAAGAGCAAAAAAAGGAGCGGGAGACAGGGGCCCTCATAATTTTTTTGCTCCTTCTTGCCCATAGCCTTCTACACAGCTGTTTTTTGTACCATCACGCAGTGCTCCTTCCTTGCTGGGAGGAACCTGCGCGACGTCCCTAAAAGTGGCTGCGAAGGAGACTATGTTGCCCGATACCCTCGAAAGTCTCTTGTGCTCACTTCATTTGGCTCAAAGGGAATGGAAGGGGCTGTTACACAGGCTAGTACACCGACCAGTTCAGGGTTTGGGCGAACGGTAAATGAAATTTGGACTGGTAACTTTTGTTTGAGAACCACACACAAATCAGTCCCTTTTATTTACAAAAGGCCGCAAAAGCCTGAAACTGGTATAAAAAATTGTTTTCAGTGAAGAAATGGGACACGAATTTACCATTTGGAACATTTTGTCTGGAAAAAAAGGACTACCTCTTCAAAGTTCAGTTACTCTGGGAAGGTTCCAGTAATTTTAATTTTTGGGAAACTTTTTGTAAATGGTAAACCAACACGTACCAGTGCAGTTGAATTGGTATTCTGTGGTGATGACACAAATTGGAGTTTTCAGTATGTGAATATCTTTTCTTTAATTTTTAGGTTGGCACAGTAGTTGAGGGATCTGCAGATTTCTATTCCTCCCGTATCACTAAACGTCAACGGAAGAATAACGTTATTGATGAACTGCTGTCGGATGCTGAATTTAGGAGGTATGTATTGTTGAGGTCACAAGTTTGTATTAGAAGCTGTATTAAGATTCTTTAAGTTTACAAGAAGCTTGATTATGATACAGGCATGAACCATTCTTCCCTATGTCTCACAACATACGCTCATCTATATATTTGTTACCTCTTTTGATAGTGGACAAGATTTTTTAATTTGCCCTTTTCACAGTTAAATGGAGAAGCAACTACCTTTCCAGAACATGTTCTGTTTTTCCTGCAAATTGATCCGCCAAATGAACGAGATGCTGAAAATATGAACATGTAAGACCAAAATCTCACACTCCAGCTGAAAGTTTGGGCCCTTGACATGAAAAAGGGCTTTGATAGTTTCCTCAAAATGAATTAATTGTGTGCAAAATTTTTAATGGTTTATGTGGATAGTAGCTGTGCAAACTGACTACAATTTTAACAGAAAGGATAGCATTTCGTGTGATTTTAAAACAAGAGAGTTAGATCAGTGTAACTTTTTTTTTTTCAGTTGCGATAAGAAATGCAAATTACAATGGATTTTTAAAGCTCTTTAAGGAAATCCAATTTCAGTTTTAAAACAAAGTTTCTCGTCACTTTTATTTTAGGGAAGCTTTTCAGTGGGGATGAAGGGCTAACTTCACACCTGTATTTTGTTTTGGCAAAATGCATTCTTTAAAACTGTTATGATATCAATTTATTGTACAAGTAATCTTGTTAATTTTGTCTTCAACAGATACAACAAGAAAAAATACCTAGAAATACAGGCTGCAAAACAGAGTGGAAAGAAAGGATTTTACAAAAAGAAGATGAACAAAAGAAAGGCAACTTGGCTAAGATCGTGAGGTCTTTTTCAACACTAAATGTTTTACATATTCCTGTTATTGATAGTTTGTATTTAAAATGAAACTGTGTAATGAATTCCATACAAGATAATTAAAAACAATTTATACTGAAAAGACATAGCCCTGCTCTGGCTTTTTAATATACCTACTTGTAAAGCTGTTTGTTTTTTTCAAGCTCAAACATGGATGGTTGTTATCCGAGAGAGTGTGCCAGGGATATAACCAGGGACCAGTCTCCATACCGGGGGCAAAAGGGAAAAAACGCAGTGAGGCGGCAATAATTGGCAAGCAAATTGAGGCGAGTGGTAAACCGGCTCGGCTCGCTTCGTTCTTCGCCCTTTTTCCCCAGCTACTCGCACGGCATACACGCTCTCACTTCCCCCGCCCTCCCCTGTCCTCTTACCATTTCTTGGTGTATATCTTTTGGTTCAATATTTTATCCTTGGTTTAAGTTTTATTTCCTTTTGTTTTGGGGAATGGTAATATATGATAATGAGTTAAAAACAAAGGGAAATAAAAATTTAAACCAAGGATAAAATTGAACCACAACATATACATGTAATTCTAAACTTAACGTAGATGTGTGCATATTGCTGAAGCATCTGTAGGGAATCAAGAATTCAAATTTCGTTGTAAATTCTCCAGTGACAAATCAAATTCTTTCTCGCCAGATATATGCTTATAGGCTGGAACATCTCTCTATTCTAACCTCCACTGTAACCTGCAGGGAGAGGCCCTTCGATCATCGTAAAATAAGCTGGCTTCTAGGCCCTCTGCTCACGGCTGGAGTTTTAAACGGAATTGACCACAAAATTGAGTAATTTTAATTGTCTGTGGACAAAAACCTTGTACCAGAATAAGTTAAAGAATATTGCGTTCTTTTTTTTTTACATTTTTTAAGGGCTAAAGATGTAATTAGTCATCTGTAATAACACCAAAGAAAATTTCTTAAGGGAGTCCGCGAAAATATAAAATGTAGCCTGAGTATCAGGCGTTTCTGGGGAAAAGGGGAAAGACGGAAGCAAAAAGGGGAGAGAGCTAAAGGAGAGAAACGGCCTTCCTTTCTCTTCTCCCCCTCCCTCCTCCCCCATCTTAAATCTCCTCTCCCCTAGCCCCTTAGGAAGGCCTGATACTCAGGCTATATAAAATGTCACGGGTAAAATTCTGAAAATTTCATTTGTAAGATGTCATTTTATGAAATTTGACATTTATTTTCTCCGGCTTCCATAAGAAATTTTCTTTGGTGTTATTACAGGTCTTACAGACAGGAGCCTATCATAATAGGCTCCAGTTACAGATCACTAATTACATCTTTAGCCATTGAAAAATGTAAACAAGAATACAATATGCTTTAAATTCTTTAAATTTATTATTCTGGTACAAGGTTTTTGTCCACTGAACATTAGAATTAAAATTACTCAATTTCCTGATGGTTCGACTGTCGATGGATTCCGTCTAAAAACTCTTTTGCTGTTATAAAAACAGTGAAACGAGGCTGAAAAATATCAACAAACCATGCTTATAACATAAAGTACATTTCTTTTTTCACTATTACTCCGCTGTACCATATAAACGTTGATTCAATATCATTTCCATGACAACAGTCGTAATAGACACTGACGGTCACCATATTGTTTCTATTTGGTGTGTTTAGAAAAAAAAGCTTTCTTATTTCTCGTAGTTTTGTGTCAGTTTAAGGTCATGCCTCCGAAGAAAAAGAAGAGTGGCAAGAAGAAGAAGAAAAGTGGAAGAAAGAGCGCCAAAAAGACGCCTTCTGCGGCCCCTTCAAGTGACGTTCTCAATGAACTGTCGAAGGAGTACTTTCTGATTCAGATAAGAGATTTGGAGGAAAGGCTTGCTCGCTATCAGAAAAAGTGCGATGAACTTGAACTTGCTAATCAGGATTACAGGTCACAGTATGAACAGCAAACAACGGATAAAAAAGAAATCGTATCGTTTTTAAAGAAACAACTGGAACAAAGAGCTGATGAAATAGCCGATCTACAAGATCGGTTGATCGGATTACAACAAGCCAAAGATAGTGAGAAAGATCAATATGAAGTGCAGTTAGCCACTTTGAGAACTGAGATGCAAGAAATTAAAGACCAATTAACTTCGGAAAACATGGTTTTGGGAGGAAAGTTAGCTTCCTTGGAAGAATTTCGTGTACAAAAGGAAGATTTGATGGCAAAATTTGCAAAAATGGAAGAGGAATTGGAGAAACAGCAGAAAGAACATAAAGACGTGATTTACAATTTGGAAAGGAAAGCTGTGGTAGACAAAGACAGGTTTGAAAACAAAATCATTTTAGTAGACAAGTGGAGCACCCATGTGGCCAGTCTGTACTTGCAAATCTTGTTTTTGTATGTGCATGCTCATTGTGCATGCCAAAATTTAAGCACTGCACATGGCAGAATGCCTGTTTGCAATAGGATGACACTTGGTTACTATATTATTTACAAATAAAATTTACCTCTGGAAGCGCAAGATCTTGTTGAGTTCTGTTATGCTCTGCAGACTGGCCATGTGGTATGCATGAACGCCTTTATCAGTACCCATTCTGTCATTGGACAGTTCAGTGGCCTGTATATTCTTGTGTAAGGCCTGCATGTGGCCTTTCACGCCTTAAAATGAGAATGTTTGACATAAGCTGACAGTTTGTCAATATTTAATCCATCCACTAGCGAAGACAGTTTCAAAACTCTCATGGGTTTTAAGTGCAGGCTGTTTTTCTCTCTGCCGTTTATCCCTCACCTCCTTCCCCCCGTCATTTTCTTGTCTGACCTCAATTCAGCTTTTGCGTAGCTGTATCTCTTACTTTATAAAGCACACACACGCACGAAAAAAACAAACAAACAAACAAACAAACAAACAGCAAAATACTCCTACTATGTAAGTTACAAAGCCTCAATTTTCTTTTGATTCATAGTCCTTGGTACTTTGTACTAGCCTTGATCTATAAATCGTAGAGAAAAACCTTGGATGGTAACTTACCATACACATATTTATACCCTCACACCACAAACTCTCATTAATTTAGTAGGGGGTGAAAAGTAAACTATTTGAGCTTAAATAATCTGTCACGTACACCAATGATCCTGCCCCAAATTCAAGGAGAGAGGTGTCCATACTTTAGTTATATTGGCAGAGTTTTACCACAGCAGATTACTAAAGAGTAATTATTTCTTTGCAAGCAACAAACATATAACTTATTCTTAATAAGTTTTAAATGTGTTAATCAAAATTTAGAATTCCATTTGATATGAAGTCTCATCATTGACCTTTTGGATTTTGATGTACTTAGACTAAAGAAAGAGATGGTGCTAAGACTGAATCAAGTGGCTGCAGAATTTAGAAAGGTATCAAACAAGCAAATGGCTGAAACCACAAAAAGAACCATCAGGGAAAATGTCTCAATCAATGCACAGCTTGCTAAGATGTCTGACAAAACCATGGAACTCATTCAGGAAAATGATGAATTGAGAGTGAAGGAGAAAAAGATGAAACTACAGATTGATATGCTGGAGCATAATGAGAAGGAACTGGCCAAGAAAAATAGCAGCAATCAGAAGGTACATTTGCATTAATCTGAATGGTGAATGGGGGTGATAGGACAGAGCCCTTATGTTGAATTTTAGGTCAATTTGCCTTTTACTCAAAATTGGCCTTCAATTCACTTAAAGTGCAAAAGTCTGGACCTTTCCTTTCTATTGTTTTTGCATTGCCTTGGCAAAAACTTTCTGAACAACAGGTTTTTGAAAGGTGGTTACCACTGGCAGTTGTTTCATGGTCCTCTAACTGAACCATTTGTCACTGTTTTTTAATCCTCAGCAGTTAAACTAGCTTAGATGTTGATCTTCATCTAAAGTCATTAAAACTCAAGTGTGCAAACTTATTTTAGTGAACTGAAAGGCACTCGCAAAACATCCAGGCAATTCTGAGTCAAACAAAAATTGGCTTAAAATTCTATGTGGGTCCTTTATTTATTCTCCCAGGCCTTATTGTTGACTAGAGAATTCTGTGAGTTAACTGGGCCTTAGGGTTAAACAAATTAATAATACAGTCAAACCCTGTTCACACGGACCCTGAGGGGGGCCATAAAAAGTGCCTGTGTTAATGGGGTGTCCATATTAAGCAGATTGAATCAGGGTTGTCAAAAGTAGCCAGCTGCCGCCGAAAATCACCACCTACTAGGTTAGTATTGGCCGGCTACTCTGCTTGGCATTTCTTTACGGAGGGCATTTTTTAAATAAAATATCCCTAGACTGGCCGCATACCATGACAACTCAGCCATCCACGTCAAAACTTTCTGAAAACTGTGTTGAATTTAGAAAAAAAATATGAAGGGTTACTTTCCCCAGGGAAAAGGAAAACTGTCCATAATAATGGGGTGTCTGTAAAGTGGGGTTCGACTGTATTGGTTGGCCTGAGAAAACAGCCAGCATTTTACCACCACTGGTTTCCCCGTCAAAATGTTGTCTGAGGAACAAGGGAAAAACTTCCATACTGATGTTGCGACACTATCCAGATCTGGGCAGTACTTCTGATTGGTCATGCCGTGTGGGAAACTTGCTTCAACCATCAGAAGCAGTACCCAGATCTGGGTAGTGATGCTCTGTCAGTATGGAATTTCTGCTTTCGTTTATCAGATGTCATTTCGCAAGGAAACCAGTGGCGACGTCACGAAATGTCAGCTGTTTTCTAAAGCTTAATATTGATACATCCACATGTATTTGACTGTTCGTGTTGAACAGTGCCACTGTGGTATCCCAGAATACAAGCTTTGTAACTAATTTATCTTGGTATTTTATTATATTTTTTAGCTTTTAGGTTCTACGTTAAGCTGATCATTGTAAAGCGCTATGAAAGAGTAGCTGAATAGCGCTATATAAATTATTGTTATTATTGTACGTCAAATGACTTAAGATATAATTATGGTAGCTTATATATCACTATCTTTACGCTTTACATGTACTAAGTCTAATGAGAATGAGATCAGTTGATAACCTTATCAACCTGTAGAAGTTTTAAGCTCATCTCCACCCACTCTACCCATGAACAAAACTTTAACCTACACCCTGATTGTGGTGCAAGTTTGGTTTTATGTTGCGACTTGAAATAGAGCCACCATTTTTAGGTCATCATGACAAATAATTAGAGCATATTACAAACGAGTGTGTATATAGTAGATTTAATGTTTCATGATCTGGGTACTTTTAGATCATCCGTATGCTGACAGAGAAGGCTAAACAGCAGGAGGAGATGTTAGTTGAATATGATGAGAGTGAGGCACAGCAGAAAGACCTTGAAAGTGAAGTGGACTTGCTTCGAGCACAGGTTGATAGCATGAAGGATGAACTCAGAGTAAGTATTCTCATGTGTGAACAACCTGAACTAATTATGTGATCCATGGTATACCTTTTGTTGCAGCTTACTTCACTCGTGTTTGTAGAGGGAACCCCCTAGGTCCTTGTGATGATTTTACTCCTCTCAGTTGACTCATAATTTTTTTTTGTCTCGTACTCTTAACCTCTAAATTAAATTTGTGCCAAAGAAAACACCAAATAAGTGAAATTCCAAATTGATATTTTTTATAACCACTAATAGAAAAAAAGGTAACATGCAAAAATTCTGCCAAGGAGCTCTCATTTGAATGGTCACACCACAGGGCTGTCAACCCACCACGTCTTCAGTTATTGAGAATTGATAGGGATGGGTCGATAGATGATGTCATAATGCACTGTACATAATGTCATTTCTGCAAAAAATACTCATTAGCTCCAATCGTCACGAATTTGCGATGTTTGACCTGATTTGTTTACTTCCCACCAATCACATTATTGCGTTTATTGCAGTCATGGTGTAATATACCATACTGGAGTATATGAGGAAACGTTGGATGTTAACAGTAAAATAGGTCAAACAATGCAAAATATTTAATTTTAAAAGTTTATTGTTGGAAAGTCGAGTCTACAACTGAATGGCAAACTTCGGTGATTAAACAGGAGATTTCATACTCTAATCTGGATATGGTGCAAAATCTGGAGTCTCCCAGATTATCCAGGAGAGTTGACAGCACTGCACCATGTGAAAATTTTAGGCTCAATAGTTAGAACTTACATGTAGTACTGTTTCTGATAGCAAAAGAGTACTGTGTTAGCATGTGTTAAAAATGATAGTGGCTGGGCACTTCCCTGAAGAACAAGGTGTGTTTTAATGGATTTCGCACAAGGGTGAAGAACAGGTGACACATTTTAAGGTGGGGGGGGGGGGGGGAAAAAAAAAAAAAAAAATTAACCCCCAAAATTTTTAATTTTTGCAGAAAGGGGAAAAATAAAAAAAAATTTTTTTTTTTTCTATCTTCTTTCCACAAATAAACCCGGATTTTTTTTTTGTTTTACAATTTTTTTTTTGAAAATAACTTAAGGCACAAATATTTAAAATATAACGTGGTTGCTTTTCTTAAAGAAAAAGAGTATTGTTTTGACAAGTTTGAAAAAAAGAAGGGGGTGGGGACTTTCCCGAAAAACAAAGTGTGTTTTTATGGATTTGGCAAAAGGGGGGAAAAAAGGTGAAACATTTTAAAGGGGGGGGGGGGGGGAATACAAGAAAAAAAATTGATCCACCCAAATTTTGAACTTTGCAGTCAAGTGTGAAAATGAAAAGTAATGCTTGTCTTTCCATGCTACTAGTCACAAGTAAGCACGAGTCTTATTTCTGTTTACCAATTATTATTTGCAGAACACAACAGACACAAAGGAGTCTTTAGAGAATGAACTTGCTAAAGTAACAAAGGACAGAGATCTGTCTATGAAGAAAAAAGATGAACTAGCTGGGATTCTATCTCAGGCTGCACAGGCTCTTAGGGCTTCATTAGCTGTAAGCTACCTCTTTTTTTTCTTTATGAGAAAGGAAGGAAGGTTCCCCTTCCTTCCCATTCTCAGACAATGGAGAACTTATGCTCTTATTATCATTCTCAAACTTTTGACTGTTGTCAGAGGTGACATTGTGGACGTTTTGTCCTCTGCTCTTCTTTGGGATGCATTTTGCTTTTAAGTTGGTATTAAGAGAAGTAATTTTTATGATTATTGTCTAGTATGGTTCAGGGGCACCCAACAAGAGTATAGTTCAAAACCACTTAAACATTGCATTGTTAAACGTATTTTAGTATTTAAACGGTACATATAGGCATATTTTGATCCCTTAAAATTTTTTCATCTGTTTGGATTTCCTAGCTGAAAGTCTAGTGGTGCTAAAATTATAGGGATCAAAACTTACCTTTTCAAAAATTTCAGCCAAAAAAAAGGCTCCCGAAAATTCTAGGTGACCTTTTTGAGGTAAATATCCGTGAAAAATAGGCAATTATACCATTTTTTAGATGTTCAAAAATCCTATAAGAGGCAGGCAAGCAAGAAATTTTACAACAAATGTTCCGAAAATTCTAAATCTCAAATCATCTTCCGAACAGATATTTTCCAAAAATTGTCTTTGGGTGCCCCTGATGGTTGTAGAGTGGTAAAACTTAGTGATAGTATTGTTAGTTGTAAGTTAATATATAAAGGTTAGGCCTAGATCTTAGCATTTCAAAGAAATATTTCTGAAAGTTTTCTTTGCGAAAATAATAAAAATCAATGGTCCTAAACTGTAGCCTGGGACATGTAAGGGTCAGTTATTCAAACAGTGTTATAAACAGTGTCTAAACCAGGCACTGTCCTAAGGCATTTAAAATTTGGCCAATCCTTACCACTATAAACATCGTTTGCTGTTTACAGTGTCAGGTAGGCTTACAGCTCAGACCTAGAAACAAATTCAGCTATGCTGAATTTTAAATCGTGTTTGAATAAATATTATTATTATTACCGGTACCGTCATAAAATCAACACCTTACGAACCGATTTAGAGGCCTGCTAACTGGCTTAAATGCCTGCTAAGTGAGACCCCTATTATAACAACTATCCTTGAGTGCCTTGCTATGCGTTCCTGTAGGCCCCCACAATTGTCCAAGGAAAGCCTGATGAAGCGGAAGCCGTATCTCAGCGGGAAAACCTTGTCCAGACTCTCCTGGGAATATTAAATGATGCCGCAAAATTTGGCGTAGGACCCAGTGCTAAAGATTTTGTAGCAGCTCCAGAGACCAGAGGGTATTCAAGTCCCAGCCCCGATATAGGCAGATACGTTTATAAAAAGAAACAGTAAGTTATTTCTTTTTGTTATCCATATTTAGTTAAAGTTTCAGCTAAGTATGCTCAATACCAGTGAACTTCGAAGTGTACATGTGAAGTCTTTTAAGGACGTTGGTGTAGATCAGGATTAGCAATGTAGAGTATATGTAGAAAAAAACCTGTAAATTACCTGTCCACAACTGTTCAATGAGACTTGTCTTTAGTTGAAAGGTTTAGACTTTTGAGCCCAGGATTTGTACTTGTTTTTAAATTGTCTTAAAAGTTTCAACAAGGTTGAACAGGACTGTAAACGACTTCTAATCTCAGACCTCAAGAACTGCTTCATTGCTGTTTGCGAAAAATGAAATGCCTAACGAGATACTGAAACTTACAGATACTGCAAATGAAAAAGACATACGAGTTCATTGTTCCGAGAAATGTCTTTCTTTACGCTCGAATTTTGTGTAGTTCTGTGTGTTTTGTTTCTCCTTTCTCGATCTTTTAAGAAAGAGACCAATTACTTGTAATCTTCTTGTTCAAGAGCAATTCTAATTCTTTAATCACTGTTTTTCTAGCACGCCTCCTTCAAAGTCCCAGGCCGTGGCAGCTGCAGTAAACCGTCCTTTACCCCATTACAGGCTAGGAGATCTGGGAATAGTTCCCAGATCCCACCCAAAGCTTGGAGAAAGGCCAAGAGCCATTTCACCACTGGCTCCAATCAGCAAACAAACGAGAAGTATTGGTGTACAAACTGTTAGCGCTCAAAAGGTGAGTGGTGCACCTTTGTTTCTGGGGTAATACTTGTGTTTCGGAACCTTCCTGCTGTTATGGTCCAGAAAACAAAAGGGCGCTGCCCTTTTGTCGATGGCCTTACCTCTTACGGAGATTTTAAAAGTATCACCGAACCTTGTTCAGAAAAGCGAGAAACGTGGTTTCAGATTTTGACAAACAAGACAATACCTGAGAAATACTTTTTCAGTCAGTGCCACTGGTAGCCCGTGTCGCAGATGTAATTTAAACTCAGTAACGTCTGCCCCGAAGCAGCGCTGACAACCTTGTCTTGGACCCCAAGCGAACTCAACGAAAACCGGAAGTGCTTTTCGAATTTCCATTCATCCTAATTGGCAAACCGACAATGGGTTTTTTTAACAGGCCAATCACACCTCGTACTTAAATCCCGGTAAATAGGTCGGGGCACAGAACAAGAATTTCGGCTCTGTGACGCAGGTTATGACACAGGCGGTTCCAAAGAAAAAATCCGATTACTCCCAACAGGACTCGAACCTATGAGCTTCTGGTAACTAGTCTAGATGCTCTACCACTGAGTTAAGGGAGTCTTGTGGGAGCTACTAAAGCTAAGGCCACAAAAGTATGTGACGAACATCCTGCATACTGTTAGGAGTGGAATGTTTATTTGTGCTTATTCATCCTCGGAGACCCAGGGGCAGATAGTGGGGGCGAGGGAAAGTCTAAACGGGCGGAAAAATATGGCACGAAGAAAAGTAAAGAACGGCGAGAAGAGCCCCTGGGGACAATGTCTTACCAGACCAGTTCCAAACGGTCGCCGCCGTTCTGGCTTCTGATTGGTTCCAGAAACACACAAAAGTTTTCTGGCACCAATCACAAGGCAGAACGGCGGTGACCGTTTGGAACTGGTCTGGTAAGACATTGCCCCCAGGGGCTCTTCTCGCCGTTCTTTACTTCTTTTCGTGCCTTATTTTCCCGCCCGTTTAGACTTTCCCTCGCCCCCACTATTTGCCCCTGGGTCTCCGAGGATGGTGCTTATTATGCGCAAACAAAGATAGATATGTGGTAGTGACGTTTAAGCCTGGTGAATACATGAGAAAGACAATAACTTTCTTTAAAATTTCAGTTAACTGTTTGCTTGCTTGTTTCCTTAAGTGTCAGAATTGTCAAAAGCACAATTTTTCAACAGACTTACCTTCAATTGTCAGGGCTTGTGAATGTTAGATTAAGACTATTGGCACTATAGATTTTATATTGGCTCATCAAAGAAATGTCATGTCTTTCTGTTTTTGTAGGCCATGTTTTTCGCTGACCAGCTGCTTTCCAAGCGGAGTCCGACCTCTTCTGCTTATAAGATATCACATGACTACCATTCGCCAATCAGAACAGAGCTCCCTGTTGGAAACGGTTCGCGCGGAAGAATACCATAACCATTTCAAAACTTTCCTCTTATGGTTAAAGCTCTGTAACAATGTTGTATATCAATGTAGGTTATAAATGTGGGGCATAAATTCTTTTTTTAATATTTGAAATCAAGGGATTTATTTTGTGTTGATCAGAAAACTATGCATGCAAACAGCTGTGTGGAGTCAAAGTTTTCTACGAGCTTAACAATATTATATGTTAAGAATTGAGTCAAATAACGACATCAACGTACACTTCCGTACATACGCGTTCTCAGGAAACTCCTTCATTATGGAGTAAAGTTATAAAAATCTGCGATCGCAATATATAACTCTTTTAATTTTTATGAGTACAGGTACTGTTTAGGTTGTTGACTTAGCGTTTTGTTTGCAAGGTAAACTATTCCTCAAAAATGTGGCAAGACAGCGAAAGCTACAAACCCGAAATATTCATCCGTTTTTGTCATCGTATTGTGAATTTTTTTATAAAAAGTGAAAGACATTGTGGTTTGTAGAGAGAACTCTGTAAATGTTAACGTCAAATCTGGAGTATATGTTGTCATGAATAGCCTGTCAAAAACCGTAGTTACTTCAGCTTTATCTTCAACATTTTTAGTTTGATAACTTTCTCTAGTTTAGCACCTCTCTCTATAAGATTTGTGGCTAAGAATTTATTGGGATAAGTGTTGGTGTTTGTATGTATAATGCAGGATTTACGTTGTAGTCCAAGTCGCTGTAAATAGAACTAACACATCCTCTAGTTTTGTAAATACCTGTGTAAGTATTCTTGTGCATTAAAAATAACGTTATTTTAATGACTTTTTACATCACTTTTATAATTGTAGAGTTCCGCCGTTTTCAGTGAACCCTAGGGGTCAGGCNGTTGTAGTCCAAGTCGCTGTAAATAGAACTAACACATCCTCTAGTTTTGTAAATACCTGTGTAAGTATTCTTGTGCATTAAAAATAACGTTATTTTAATGACTTTTTACATCACTTTTATAATTGTAGAGTTCCGCCGTTTTCAGTGAACCCTAGGGGTCAGGCCCAAGTATACCAAGTATCCTTGTAAAAGAGGCAATCTTATTTTGTAGGAAAGCGTGAAATTTGTCATTGAAGTTTGTTATCTTTGGGACGGGCAGATCTTTCCTTAATTTAGAGAGGTGTCCGTAAGACATTACCCTCTTCACTCACACAGTGATTAGGTGCCGTCTAACTTTTGAGTCTGCAGATCATGAAATCCTATGGTATTGCCATTTAAAACATGATTCTCTACCGCAGTAATTTCACTTGATGATTTGTGTCCGAGGCATTTCGCAAAATGAATTTGGAAATTTTGATGGCTCAAAGAGAATTTATGAGTTGTCATGACAATTAATAATGGATAATCGAGGCGAAATATGCCGAGAGAGAGAGACTGCTCGCACGAAGTGAAAAGAATAAGATACTTTAGTGAAAAATGCGGTAAAATGAATATTGTTGACAGTGACTGACGTTTCCACAACCTGTGCGGTAGTCACCTTCAGAGTCAAAAAATGACTACCGCACAGGTTGTGGAAACGTCAGTCACTGTCAACAATAACTTTCCTATTCAGGACTAGTTCACCCGGACGATCAAACTCAACCTACTTTTAAAATGAATATTGCGTCTCAAGTTAAATTAGTACTATATCATTCAGGAAATTTGCTATTATCATTACACGCGGTTCAGATAAGAGACTCGAATTCTCACTTATTCACTAAGGAGTTCTGCTAACTGTGCTAAACATATACTAGTGCGATCGTTTTTTTGGTGTATCTCTCTCTGAGACCAAAAAGAGCACTAGAACGGGAATCGTACAAAGTGGTTCTGCACAAAACCAGAGGAAAGATTGCTGATACTTGCTGCAGTACTCTGAATTTCTTTAGCAACGTTCAGATCTATGGTAGTTTCTAGTCTCGGTTGCGATCATCCTTCATCGAATAACACGCCAATTGCCCTTTTTTTTCATTCCCCTAAGAAGACCCATGTCTAAGTATAGCCGGTGACCTGAACAGGACTTTATATCACGGGCTTATATGCGCATAAAATCGCCGGACACTCTTGTTTACAGGGTGCTTAAGCTCATTGCTTATGATTCTTTTCAGGCACGGTTGCCGGCGAAGTCTGTAGGCCGCCCGTGAAATCTGCTTGTGAACTATGGGACTTGTTTAACGGACAGAGTTAAAGTCGGCGCCCTTCGCCTCAGATCTAAGCTCTAGGTTCCCATATCATATCTTCAAACTGCACTGACCGTGACTAAGCTCTCCGGGACGCTCTTAGTGGCGGGGCTTCTTTTTCCCTCCCCGCCTGCCAGAGCTCCCCGGAGAGCTTGCTCGAAGGCTAAGGTGAATCTCAGCAGCGGTGTCTCACTTTGGCAGCTTTTCAGCATGTCAACTAGCCTGCGTAGCAGGCGCTTGGAAGTAGTGGGCACAAGAAAAAACGGGGGAGCGAGAATCCCTCCCGTGTCTCCCTCGCGCGCAACAGTTCTCTCTTTCGCCCACTACCGTCCAAACGCCTGCTACTCAGGCTTAATGTCAACATTTAGACTAGCCGTGGGTCATCCCTGTCTCATGATATTATGTCAAGTTCTAATGATTGTTTCATGTTTCAGATGTTTGTCTTTTAAGACAGCCCTGCTGTTAAATGAAATTAAAACAATTGCACAAATTGATTTCTTGGTCTCAAGAGGAACTGGTTAGCATTGCAAATTTAAATCAGTGTTAAGTCCCTTAGCTTGAAAACATCACATTCGTCTTTTCCTATACCATATCATATACCATGTATACACATGATTTTTAACAGTAACCTGAATACCCCATCAGAAACCTTTTTTTTTTTGTACTGACTCAGTACTCAAGGGAGATTTTTCCCCCCCAGTACAAAATGGCACACCATGCCCACGACCCTCTTGATCCTAAGCATTCTCTAAACAATGATGACATCTGTCTATTGTTGGAGAAACAAAGCTGTTTCACATGAATGACCTTTGCGGAGAATAAACAGACGTGACACTTTATACTGCCACTGAATTTGAAATGTTGATCCGTTGCGATGTGTTTTGAATTTCTTGATGAGCGTTCGGTTGTCTTGGTGCCTGTTAATTTTAGAAGCTTCATTTAACTTTAAACCCGNAGCATTGCAAATTTAAATCAGTGTTAAGTCCCTTAGCTTGAAAACATCACATTCGTCTTTTCCTATACCATATCATATACCATGTATACACATGATTTTTAACAGTAACCTGAATACCCCATCAGAAACCTTTTTTTAGTACTGACTCAGTACTCAAGCGAGATTTTTTTTCCCCCAGTACAAAATGGCACACCATGCCCACGACCCTCTTGATCCCAAGCATTCTCTAAACAATGATGACATCTGTCTATTGTTGGAGAAACAAAGCTGTTTCACATGAATGACCTTTGCGGAGAATAAACAGACGTGACACTTTATACTGCCACTGAATTTGAAATGTTGATCCGTTGCGATGTGTTTTGAATTTCTTGATGAGCGTTCGGTTGTCTTGGTGCCTGTTAATTTTAGAAGCTTCATTTAACTTTAAACCCGCATGAAGACTAACGACGTACATTTTAGACTAAAATTACTATGGAAAATACCAGCACGTCTAAAGAAACGGCCGAAGATTTGTTTTTCAAGTTCATGGACGCTGAAGACTGTCCCGAAATCACACAGACGTTCCATCGGCTGGTAAAACTTCTCGGAATCAAAACCGAAAACCCGCGAGAGTTCTATTCGTTACTAAAAGGCAAACTCCAGTCCTGGAGGTGCAAATCTCTTTGGGAACTGCTCGATTGTCGTGCTAACCAGAAGGAATATGGTAAAGGAAAAATTTGCGAAGACACTCAAGTGTTAGTAATCGGTGCAGGCCCAATCGGGTTGAGGACAGCAATTGAAGTTGCTTTGTTGGGCTCACAAGTTGTGATTGTGGAGAAAAGAGAATCATTCACGCGAAATAATGTTTTACACTTGTGGCCCTTTCTACTCACCGACTTTCGGTCGCTCGGAGCAAAGAAATTTTACGGGAAGTTCTGTTCTGGGTCTATCGATCACATCAGTAAGTATGTTTAAAGTGCTTATATTGCATTTTGTGTTTTCGCAGGTTTTGTCGTATTTTCTTACAAACCTAAGACTTGATTGACAGACGTATCTGTAAATTAATTGATTTAAAGGCGAATACTAACTAATCTGTCCAGTGTTTTTATGTCTTCATCCATCTCGCCTTGAAATAAGATTGTTGAGGGCAATATGATCATACAATATCATTTCCTTTCGGCGTCGATTGAAAATATTGTTACTTATCATACGTTTTGAAAGTATACAGCCTTTTATGCCACAGCGTTTGTGTCTCCCAAACAATTTTATTCCTGCTTATTGTAATCACTGTACTAAACAAAGCCCAAACATACTTTTAGAATAGTCCGGTGACAATTTATGTTAGAATCGTCAACTCATAAAATCATTATGAAGCAATACAGTCAGTCACGTATTTGTTCCTCGAATATCTTTGGAATTGGATGTTTAACATGGCTTTTAAGGTGAAGTGTATAAAATTCGCGCTCTTCAATAATTGTAAGGCATATCTCAGCGAATCTCGTTAAGCAATTCGATAAGCGTTTTTAATCCCTGATAACATCATTTTGTATTATGCCTATGCCAGAATTGTTTATCATACCGTTGTGAATACCAAAACATTCTATTTTAAATGGGATTTGTGTTGTAGACTGAACGTTATATCAGATTTAAACACAACAAATATTTATAGTTTGAAACACAACAAATATTTATAGTTTGTGAGGTTACAGCATCAGAGTGTTGGTCTAAATCCGTCTTACAACTTCCTCATCTCCCGGCCAACTTTTTTAACTTTCAGTCCACGAGTGATTACTTACCCTAAGTACCATAGTCTTATTGAGAGTTTATCATCTTTTGCTCTCTATAAAAACAGCTGTTTTGTTTTTCCTCCAACGACCGGAACGCCGGTAACATGTTATGTTATACTGGTAATTAGTAGAGAACAAAAAAAAAAAGAAAAAAAATAACACCAAAAAATTGAGATTGGAGTGAAGAGTGGGAACACAGAAGAACTTCATTTTCTCGTGCATCTTTTGACCAAAAATAAAACAAAGTCAGGCGAAAATTTCGCTGAGCTTTTAATTTTTTAGTCTACAGCACTCAAAAAGATAGTTGCGGGTTTTTAAATATTTTAATTATCATTTATTAACAATTACAGTTTTCTAAAATTAGCATATTTCATATTCATTGATGTTTTATTTTCAGTTTCCCTGACAAAAGATTATTTTCTTTTCATTTTGCATCTCATTTGTGTGTTTTGACGGTTTGCTTTTCAGTGAACAGCGTTTCACTGAACTTGCCCTTTCCACAGGTATTATGCGTAATTATTCCATCAACTTTTACATTCTCTAAGAATTGCCACTGAAAGCACTCGTATTATTTTTAATTCGAGTTGGTTTTTTATATTTGTTGATTGTATCATTTTGTTTATGTTATGTTATTTATATATTATATTCAAGTCAGTTTTTATGTGATCCCAGTGCAATAAAACGCAGTGAAACAAAGAAAAATGAGAAAAGGAGGAGGAACAAAAAAATTGCAGTCGCATTAAACACTGTGTTGAATTGTTTCTGCACCATAAAGGCCCAATCCAAGAATGGAAATATGAGTGAAATGTTGGTAACTGCGCGCACTGTTTTACTTTATTTGAAGTTTTCTGCGATGAAAGGCTTGGAAACAAAC